GCTGCAGAGGAATCTCTGCTCTGGCACCTGGAGTACCTCCTCCGCCTCCTTCTTCACTGCCCTTGGGGTCCGCAGGGCTTTTTCTTGTTACTTGTCTCCCTCACAGCCGCTGTGCAGCAGCTTTTACCTTTTTGTAAATATGTTATGACAGAGGTGCCATCAGCTTAGCTGAGTGGCTCAGCTTTGGCCAGCGGTGGGGCCTTTTTGGAGCTGGCTGGAATCAGCTGTGTCCGACATGGGGGCAGCCCTGGTCTCCTCTCTCAGAGGCCACCCGCGCAGCCCACCCTGCTTCTAAGACTGTGCCACAAGGTCCTGTTGCTGGCTCGTGTTCCACTTGGTGTCCACCAGGAGCCTTCAGGCCTTTCCAGCTGGACGGCCCCAGCACATACCAGTATGTGGGGTTGTTCCTCCCCAGGTGCAGGACTTTGCCCTTTCCATTGTCTTGTGGGTGAGCCCCGACAGGCAGCTAAGCCCCACTGAAGGTCCTGTGAACCAAGTAGACAAACCCCGCAGATGTTTTCTTCACCTCCCCACTGTCCTTGAGATTCCTGGGTGCCAGGCAATTGCTCCCTTCCTTGCCTGCCTCAAAGGTCCCAGGCACCCAGCCAGGCAAGTGTTGTTGATGAACCCGTCACAGGACAGGGGAGCATATCAGCACCCAGAGCACCCAGAGCACTGGCTGTAAAATCAAGCAGTTACAAGTCCTGGGGTGGGGAAGCTGGGCCAGAACTGCTGCTGGGCACTAAGACCCTTGACCCCCCATGGCCAGAGATGCCTCCACCGCTCTCTGCTTCCCCCAAGGACTCAGTGAGTAAATCGTATACCTGTATACGATTTTTGAGTGTACATGGTTGTGTTGATACAGCAAACCATGTCTTAAGATTTGACCCGATCTGCAGAGGGTCCAGATGATTAGAAATCATCAAAGTTAATTTAGGATCCTGGTGATGAACTTCAGTTGCACTCTAAATTCTGCGATCCGCTACTTAGAGTAGTTCTATATTGACTGTGCTTGTGGAAATCCTGTGTCGTTGTAACCATGAAGTCGTGCTGTCCAAATCATAAGGTCCTGTTAAGAAAATATAGCTTTAATTGTAACTAGGATTTAGTGCCGTCATCATTCTGCCAAAGATCCCAACATAGCCTGTCTGTCCCCTTAGCGTCAGGTGAGAACCCACACAGCCACGTGCTTTCTGCCTTGGCTGAGGGATGGGAGACAGCATCGGAAGGGTGTAAGAGAGAAGACGTGTGCTGGGATCAAGACAGCGTAATGAGTAAAGCTGAAGCTGCACGCACAAGCCAAGCAAAAGAAGGAACACAATCCCTACTTCCCATCAGTAGGCAGGTGGGCAGCTATTTTCAGGAAAGCCGGGCTTTGTCACACATAGCAGTTACTTGGGAAGACAAAGGCCCTAACTTGCAATATGCCCCTTTCCTCCTTCTTTCTCCCACATCTATTGCCTCACATGGCGTCATGCGGTATGGAATATCTCTTTGGCTGGTTGTGGTCAGCTGTACAGCTGGGGGACAACATGAGAAGCAGAGAAGGCCTCGATGCTGAGGAAGCGCTGCTCAGTAATAGCTAAAATGTGGGTCTGTTATCCACATGGCATTGGGCACACAAAATCACAGCTGCATATAAAGGCTGCATTGAAGAATGTTAACTCCATCCCAGCTGCACCCAGTACACCTACGTTAGTTGACCATTCTTGGGCTGGAAATGCTTTAGGAGTACTGGGACATGTTGGGTCCCATAGGGATCCATATTGGGCCCAATGTTACTTAATGTTTTCAGAAGTGATCTGGATAACGGGATCAAGTGTAGCCTGGTGTGGTTTGCAGATAGCACCAAACTGATTGGGGAAGGAGACTCTCTGGAAGGGAGAGCCACCGTGCAGGAAGATGTGGATAGGCTGGAAGAGTGGGCTAACAAGAACCTTATGAAGTTCAACACACAAGTGTGAGGTCTTACACCTGGGAAAACACAATCCAGGAATGCAGCACAGCCTGGGATCCACCTGGCTGGAGAGCAGCTCTGTGGAAAGGGACCTAGGGGTGCTGGTGGATAGGAAGGTCCATGGGAGTGAGCAGTGTACTGCTGCGGTCAAGAAGTCCGATAGGATGCTGGGTTGCATCAACAAGGGCATCACCAGCAGAGATCAAGAAGTCATCATCCCACTCGACTCAGCGCTTGTCAGGCCACACCTGGAATCCTGTGCACAGCTCTGGTCCCTGCTATACAAAAAAGATGTGGACAGGTCGGAGGGGGTCCAGAGCAGGGCCACCATGGTGATCCAGGGACTGGGAATCCTCTCTTAGCTGTATGAGGACAGGCTGAGATAGCTGGCTTTGTTCAATGCAGAGAAAAGGAGGCTCAGAGGGGATCTCATCACCATGTACCAGAACCCAAGGGGGAGCTACAAAGAAGATGGAGACTCCCTTTTCACAAGGAGTTCCATGGAGAGGACAAGGGGGGATGGACACAAGTTGCTCTTGGGGAGATTCCGATTGGACGTGAGAGGGAAATTTTTCACCATGAGAACAGTCAACCATTGGGATAATCTCCCCAGGGAAGTGGTTGACTGCGCCACATTGGACACTTTCAAGACACAGCTGGTCAGGGTGCTGGGCCACCTTCTCTAGACTGTGCTCATACCTAGAAAGGTTGGACCAGATGATCTTGAGGATCCTTCCAATCTAGGATTCTAGGATTCTATTCTTGTGTTGTTGGGTTTCTGAGCGGGAGATGGATCTCCAGTATCTTCTGCTGAGACATCCCCTACCAATCAATTCCCAACTGAATTCCCTCCTCTCTGTCCAGGACCCCTGCCTCCAGCAGCAAGCTGTGGCCAGCAGCAGAGCTCTCAGGCTACAGGAAGCAGCCAGACAAGTGGGCAGATGGGGAGGCGTGTTATTCCCCATCCTTCCAAACCCACGCTCTGGGGTTGTGTTCATAGCTCTACAACCATGGGACTGTATCTGCAATGTTACAAAAGAACACCACTCTGTAAGATCTAAGGGGAGACCACGCACCACAAATACAGCAGAGGCCATTAGTGCAGCAAACAGAACCCCGCTGAATCGCTCTCCTGACCCCTCTGCATGCTATTGTTTTACCTGCCCCATGGTACTTTTGTATTGCTTGCACGTTTCTCGCTTGAGTCCCAGCTTTGAATCCTGAAGCCCCTGAAGCCCAAAGAGGAAAGTGAGTTTTCCTCATGCCTCCTGTACCGAGCTGTTTCTGGAAGCCATCAGGGGAGTAGCAAAGCCCGAGTTTCCACCTTCCCGTTTGCCCTGGCACAGATCAGCTACAAACCCACAGAAGAATGTTTGTGCATGTTTGCCTCTTGCCCTGTCCCTGAGCACCACTGGAAAGAGCTTGGCCCTGCCTTCCCCACCCCGTCCCTTCCTCTGTCTCTCTCTGTTGATGAGATACCCCCTGCGCCTGCTCTTGGCCAGGGTAAACTTTCCTCGCTCTCTCAGCTTCTTCTCATGGCAGCGGTGCTCCCGTGCCATTTTCACCTTCTTGGCCCTGCACCGGCCTCTCTCCTCTATGCCCAAGTCTCTCATGTAGGGGGCAGCGCAGAAGAGGCGCTGGTACAGCAGACGTTACCTCTCCAGTGCTGAGCAGAGGGGAAGGATCCCCTCCCCGACCTGCTGGCCATACTTTGCCTCATGCTTGGCCACAAGGGCACATTCCTGGTCCACTTGTTGTCCCCTAGAACCCTCGGGTCCTTTGCTGAGCATGGCATTGCCAGCCCATTCCAAGCAAGCAGAGCTTCCTCACACCTCCTGGTCAGACGGAAGGACAAACGCCGCCCGTGTCAAGGCCTCCCCTCTGCCACCTACTGTGCCCCAGCGACCTTAGTCGCTTGCTGAAGCCAGCCAGGTCCCAGCGGCGCCTGGC